ATCAAATATTTACGGGCTCAAGTCATAATGTATTGTCTGCTGAATTAATTGATTATTTCAACTAGAATATGCCAACAGATAAAATAATTAAAAAAAGTTCAGACAAAGTAATTGAATTCTGGCGAAAATATGAACGACGTTGGCCAGTTAGATCTGCGATTGCAAAAGATCGACTGACACCTCAGGTTAGCACTGTTGCTTCGGAGTCTGCTTTTAGTGCAGGTAAAAGAGTTTTAAGCGAGGTCATGAGCCGACTAAAAGAAGATATTTTAGAAGTGTTAATGTGCGTTAAGGATTGGCAGGACGCTAATTTTCGACTACAAGATAAATATGCCGAAATTGCATGTCGTCAAATAAGTGATATCTAATTTAATTATATTGATGAAACTTTTCTTTTCTTATCGTTACTTTTAATTTTCTTTAAAAAATTGTACACGCTACAAAAAATTGTTCGTGTACAATTTTTAACTTCGTCTGCTGAAAATTTAAGTAGCCAGTTCCAAACTCGGATAAAGAAAGAGGGTTTATATTTTATCTATTTTAAAAAGAAAAATAAAAAGATTATTTATTTCTATCTCTTTTAGTTAAAAATAAATAAATAAAATTCATTTCCACCAATTTAGTTAAATTTTTGTTAGTACTTGGTACTATTACTACTATATATCTACATTTTAAATTCTTTTCTCGAACAACGCTGTGTGTACTTTTGCATATAATTTTTGAAGTAAATTTCTTCTGAAAATTGAAAGGGTAATTGAATGATTGCCCTTTTAATTGTCAGAAATCTTTCGCAGTGAAAGACTTCTATATAATTTTCGAAGTGAAGACTTCTGACAATTGAAAGGGCATTCGATTACCCTTTCAATTTTTAGAAGGAATTTTCTTCGAAGATCATATGCAAGGGGGCGCGCAGCGTTGTTTGAAAAAATAATTTTTAATACTGTTTTAAATTTTCTTTAAAAAACTGTACACGAACAAACAAAGAATATAATTTTTAACTCCGCCTACTCTAAATTTAAGTAGTCGGTCCCAAATCCGGATAACGGAGGAGAATTTAAATTTGTTACCTATTTTTTTATATATAATTCACGATTTAAAAATTAAAACTATTTTTTTATTTTTCAATTTACCTATTTATTTCCCAAAAAAAAAAAATGGACATCTGCTCGCGAGCCAAGCTCGGCACGGCTCACGAGCCACGAGCTTGGCTCGACTCCTTTCAAAAGGAGCACGAGCTCGGCTCGTGGCGAGCCTGAGCTAGCCGGCCCATTGACAACCCTACATCAACATTATTTTAAAAACAATGAAGCCCATGCAATGAGCTGGCAGAGGACTAGTAATATAAATAAAAAAGAAGCAAGAGCCAAAAAAAAATAAAAAAAACCTAATTACTAACCCTAAAGCGGCGCTGCTTACTCCAAGTTCTCTATATATTCATAACATGCTCAAGCTATCTGATACAAAAAATATTTAGCAGCTGAGTCTTCATAAGCCCTACTATTTTACGGTTTTGGGATTTCGTCACATATCTTCAGTCGCCTCCAGTAAATCAATGGGAAAATCCACTAAGAAATCAGCTTCCAAGGTAGATTTAACGCCTTCGCATGTTTTTTTGGTCTAAATTTTGCTTTTAATTTTTTGATTTTTGTGAATTGCAGGTCGATGCAGCTCCTGCTGTTGCCGCACCCACTAAACCGATGAAGAAAGGTTAAATTTTGTTATTTCTGTTTGATTTTATCTCTGTGGCTTTTGTTGAAGATTATTACTGTTTTTACGTTATGTGTGGCTGGTTTCTTTAATAAATAGGTAAGAGAGAAGCCGAGGATTCTCTAGAGAAGCATCTGGTGAGTGCTAAGAAGCAGAAGAAGGAAGTGGAAGTGGAGAAGAAGGATGTGGATAAGGCTCAGAAGAAGAACATAAAAAAGAAAGTGAAGTCTTCTTCAGAAGAACAGCTCAAGGTTTTTTTTTTTTTTATTATTAGTTGCAGTTTTTTTCCTCCTATTCCTCTGCTTTTAATTCAATTTTTAGTTTGTCTGTGCGAAAACCTGATTAAACTGACTATACTATGCATACTTATGTTATACCTGTTACTTTCGAACTTTAGCTTTGTGTCCAGAGGAAAGCTTTATGAGGGAAAAAAAATCCATTCTTTATTAACTATAGTGGAATTTATAAAAGCTTTACTTATCTTATATTTTTAAATCTGTGAATTTTGCTTTAGTTAGTTATAAGTAAGATATTGAATATTGTTATTGCCGTATTCATTTGCTTTTAATTTCCTTCTTGTAATTTCTATATAACTTGATTAATTTGAATGTAAGTTATAAGTTTTGCTTTCGAACTTTGCCTTTTTGCTAGAGGACAGTTTTTTGAAATCTTTAATCTCTATCAAATTTTTTGAATTTTTCAATACCTATATTGTGAGAAGTTAGCTTCTTGACAAATTCAATTTCAAAAGCATTGTGGCCTTTTATGTTTATAAATATATGGCATTGCTTCATGTTAGTTTCAGTTGATGTTTATGCTATATAAATTATTAGGTTAAGGTACCAGCTAAGAAGGGAGGGGCAGTGGTCAAACAGTCTGTGCAAGAATCTAGTAGTTCTGAAGAGGAAACGTCTTCTGATGATGTGAGCGATTTTGTGCTTATACTATATTACAATATCATTTTTTTATTGAAGTTTTGAACATTAAAGTTCTCACTCATTCACTTGTATGTACATTTGCAGGAGCCTATTGCCAAATCTACTTCGCTCTCAACTAAAGGCCCAAAAGTTGATGCTACAAATGGTGTGGCTAAAAATAGCAAACAATCCAGCAGTTCAGATGATAGTGATTCTGATGAGGATGAAGTGAGTTTCACCAAGTTAATTTTTCGAATTTTGTTAGTTGTTTTTGTTTCAATTGCTATTACTAGTCTTGATGTATCTTTATGTGTCATTTTTTGTTGTCCCTTACAGGTTCCTAAAACAAAGGTACCGGTGCCAACCAAGAAGCCTGTGGTGGCAGTTAAGAACAGAACTGTAGAATCTGACTCGGATGATGAAACTAGTGATTCAGAAGAGGATGCGAGTGCACTTAAGAAGCCTTCTTCAGTTGCAGCTAAGAGTGGCAATGTTGCAGTTACCAAGAAGAAAGAAAAGTCTGACTCCGACTCTCAGAGCAGTTCTGATGAAGATGTTGCAGATAAGAAGAAAGATGAGTCAATTGATGATTCTGATTCAGAAGATGAGTCTAGCTCAGATGAGGATGTTGCAGCAACCAAGAAAGTTCCTGCTGCTGTGACTAAAAAGACCCCTGTCGCAGCTTCAAAGAACAATGAGTCAAGCAGTGAAGATGAAAGCTCAGATGAAGACGTTCCTGCAGCTACAAATGGCTCAGTGGTTGCTACAAAGAAGAAAAATGATTCCAGTGAGGAATCAGAAACTGACAGTTCTGAGGAAAGTGAAGATGAACAGCCTCAAAAGAAAAAGCTGAAAGTCCCAGTATGTGATCAATATACATATTTGCTCTCATGGTTGAATTTTTTATCTGTCATTGTATATGATTGCGAAATTTCATATCTTTCAGATTCCTGCAACTCCAAATGCTGTTAAACCTAGCGTAAAGGCTGCAGAAGAGGATGATAGTAGCAGTGAAGAGGAAAGCTCTGATGATGATGAACCATCAAAAATGGAAGGGGTAAAGAAGGTAATATGCATAAATATGATTTGAGGATAATTTTGTGTTTGCATATAATTCAAGGTTCAGACTGCTGATTCTTTTACTTAAAGACTGCATTTGGCTCATATTTATAAACACTAAGGTCACTTTTTATCCACACGTTTTGGATTACCTACAAGTATTACCCACTTTTTCACTAGTATGTATGTATTTGTAATTCAAACATTTTATAAACGCTCTCAAAACATGCTTTTATTGCTGGCAGTCAATTCGTGCCTCAAAGGATAGCAGTTCAGAGGAAGAGTCTTCTGAGGAAGAGGAGGAAAAACCTTCGACAACTCCCAAGAAAAAGGTATAAGATATTTTCATTTAACTGAAAAGATCGACCATGCAAATTTTCTCATCTTGTCTTTTGACAAGCTGTTATGAAATGTTTGCAGTGGAAGTTCTTTAACTCTTTTTTCCCTTTTTGATGACGTCACGTGAATAAACTAGTTGGGGTGAGATCTTGTTGAGCATACTTGAACATGCAGTTTTGGTTGTAGACATCGACCCACATATGCTGCGTTCCTAATACCTGGAAATTTTGATCTATATCCTTAATATTCATCTCCTTATACTAGGTTTTCTTGATAAAACAGGATGCTGGTGTGAAAACGACTGGTCTTGCACCATCGAAGGAGACTGTGAGTAGTTTTTCTTTGCTTGACTTGTGTTTGCACTTGGAGTTCCATCCTCTTGTGAAGTCGCTTTAACTTTCTGAAATGAAGAGATTTGAAATTGCAAAATGAAGCCTTTTAGAAGAAGAATTAAGTAATGAGAAGAAATAATCTACTTTGGGGGAAGTGGTTTCTTGTAGGTTTTCAGTTTACAAGTGTTTCCATTAAAATAGTGGCTATTTATATATGCAGCCCAAGACGCCTGCCACTCCTACAGCGCAGACCACGGGCCCCAAAACTCTATTTGTTGGGAACCTTTCCTACTCTGTTGAGCAGGCAGATGTGTAAGTATATAACATTTCCTAAATATTTGCATTTATGTTAAATTTTTTATATATTTTTAACATTTTTTTAAAACATTGCAGTGAAAACTTTTTCAAAGATGCTGGTGAAGTTGTTGATGTTCGCTTTGCCATGTCTTCTGAGGATAATTCATTTAGGGGCTTTGGCCATGTTGAGTTTGCTACCACTGAAGCAGCAGAGAAGGTAATTTCATCTCATCTGGCACACTGTGCATTGGCAGACTTTTTAAGAGATTTCATTAGTTATATGAGGTAACGCATTAGTTATATCCGTATTACTGCAACCTGTCAATCATTTATTTGCATATATTAATTTGCAGGCCCTCCGTGAATTGAATGGTGAAGACCTACTCGGTCGTCCCGTGAAACTAGATATGGCAAAGGAAAGGGGATCGTACACACCATATAATGGGTATGGCAGCTGTTATCCAATTTTTCAATGATTACATGGTTTCTGTTCCATGTTAGTGTATTATAATATTGTTCTAATTTAGTGGCAACGAGACGAACTCATTCCAGAGGGGAGGGAGGCCTCAAGGGCAAACAATATTTGTTCGTGGTTTTGATAAATATGATGGTGAAGACAAGGCATGATTGCACATCCATTTATTTTCTATCATGTTAGATTAAAATTGAATAACTTCCTCTGTTGGTGTATGTACTGAATCTGTGTCACGTGAATTTCCAGATTAGAGGTTCTCTTGAAGATCATTTTGGTTCCTGCGGTGAAATCACAAGGGTTTCCATTCCAAAAGATCAGGATGGTGGTGTTAAAGGGTTTGTATATTGCCATTGTTTAGCATTGTGTTATTCTGTTCTATTGTTATGCATTAGAATATCATCTCTGTTGGTTTTTTGAATAACAACAAACATTTGACAAACTGAGACCTTCTGTCTCTTTTTGCCTTCCAATGACCAATTCAATCCTGTTCCGATTGCAGAATAGCCTACATTGATTTTAAGGAAAATGCTGCCTTTAACAAAGCTCTGGAACTTGATGGATCTGAATTCGGGGAGAGTTCCTTGTCGGTGGAAGAGGCTAAGCCTAGAGGTGATAGTGCTGGTGGTGGCAGAGGTGGCAGGAGTGGTGGCCGGGACAGTGGCGGTCGTTTCGGGGGTCGACGTGGAGGTGGCCGCAGTGGTGGCGGTCGATTTGGAAGTGGAGGTGGTGGTCGCTTTGGAGGTAGAGGTGGAGGAAGAGGACGTGGAACTCCTGGGAAGCCAAGCGTGTTTGCCGCTGGTAAGTACTTCCATTTTTCGAAAAATATGAAGTGTGATATTTTTTTTTTAAAAGTTGTGCAAGTAAATTAGGCAGGTTTTGTTATTTGTGTAAAAGAAATTTAGTTTTGCGATTGATCTTTATAGGTGCAGGGAAGAAGACTACATTTGGTGATGACTAGGAGTACACAGCTTGACCCGACCCGATCCATTGGGTTTTGGAGGGTTGCTTTAAATCCTAAGTAGTAGTAAATCCTTGTTCGGATCGAAGACTGCGGTATAACATTTTTTGTTTTGTTGAGATGTTTAAAGAAAGGATTCACATTTATGCCTTTTTTTTATGTAATGAAATTATGGTGAGATTTTTGAAGGAGACCCTCGAGTTAAAGAGGCTTAGTCCCGTTTGGCTCTCATTAATTTTTTATTTTGTTACATTTTATTTTTCTTTTATTTTCCAATCACATAATTTTCAACAAAATAATATTACACAAAAATCTAAAACCTTTCATTTTTATTCAACCACATATTTTAAAAAAAAAACATTATTTCACACATTTATAATTCTCCAAAATGGGGGCTTAATATCGTATCTACCTCTTTTAAATCTATAATATATTAAAAGTGGGGATGGTGGATAAATTTTTAAATACCAAATTTGCCTATACATATTTAAATATATGCTCACTATTTTCTTATAATTGAAATATGAATTTAATTCGTATTTATCATTTGTTTTTGGATTGATATAATATGAGGAGTGAAATATTTAATTGATAGTTATCATTTAATTTGGATTGGAATTAATATAATGAGTGAAACTAACATGCAATTATATCAAGAAAAAAAAAGATTTATCATTCAATTGATCATTTAGTTCTTACACTTTATTTTCTACAAACCAAGCAATTTTTAATTTTTCATCAACAAAATCTTTATTGATTTTCATGATTTACATTATAATATATTCATTGAGTTTTTATTTTTCATCAATAAAGCCTTTATTAATCTTCATGATTTACATTATAATTCATGCATTAGGCTATTATTTAATTGAGGTTACAAAATTGAAAGGTTGCATTAATGTATTAACGAGGTAACAAATGTGCTAAATGTTGCATTAATATATTAATTGGGACATTCGATCGTTAAAAGAAAATACACTCGAAAATTCAATGACTTATCTTTCAATTGATTAATTTTTCTTTACATTTTTTATTTTTAATCAACAAAACCCTCATTAATAATTTACATTATAATTTATGCATTAAGTTATTATTTAATTGAGATTGCAAAATTGAAAAGTTGTATTAATATATTAATGAGGTTACAAATATGTTAAAGTAAATACTTTCTAATTATTAGGGTTTTTTAAGATTGGCAATAATTCTTTCTACTTCCAATCACTTTTACCCAGCTTATGAATGATTGGGAAACATTCAATTGATTATTTTATTTTGAAATTTTTTATTCTTAATCAACAAAATTCTTATTAATCTTCATAATTTACATTATAGTTCATGCATTAAGTTATTATTTAATTAATATACGTCATTTGGTTTGAAATTAATATAAGGAGTTAATTGAGATTCAATTAATAAAAAATATATTAAATGGAAGTTCAATAACTTAACATTCAACCGACTATTTTGTTCTTAAAATTTTTATGGGAAGGCTCTTGTGTGGCAAAAAGGAATTAAAATGTGCGAGTCTAACTTTACAGTAATGGCAAACATAGGTTAGACGTATTTTTTTTCACAACTTAAAATTATTTATTAACTTTGTTAATTAGATAACATAATTATATTTTAATTAAATATTTAAAAAAATTGGCCAAATAAGGATTTAATATGAAAGTAATTATAACCATTATAGCTAACAAAATCAACCAACTTTTCTCATTCTACCCCCATGCCATTATAGCTATAAAACCAATCCTGCTCATTATATTCTATGGTCAAAATTTACAAGTAAAAATCTGCACAAAAGGGTAAGAATTATTGTTAATAAAAGCAATTTTCCTAATGCTTGAGTTTCTCAAAATCTATTTCTAAGTTGATGATCACAGTGAAGTTTATTTTATTATTATTATTATTATTATTATTATTATTATTATTATTATTATTATTATTATTATTATTATTATTATTATTATTATCATCATCATCATTATCATCTATCTTGATTTGTATTTCAAATTGATTTCTAATATCATGGACTTAATTGTATCACTAATTTTTTACTTTTGAATGATGGCAACATCATAGATGAATACATCATCGTCGAAATCACAAACAGGAATGGGGTTTGATTCATCAATAGATCAACAAAATAAATCAGGTCATCAATTTAATTAGAAAAATATTGACTTTTTCCATTTTGTTAATTGCCAATATATATCTTTGTTGTTATATCTTAAATTTGTTTTCTATTTGTAGAATTGATGTCACCTAATAAAAGTTGCGATCATATTTTTATAAAAACAACTAACTGTCTTTGAAGAGGAGTGGATTATAGAAGTATCCATACTCCGAAAAGGTTCCACTGAGATCTATAGCAACAAAAATGGCCATGTTGAAGTTTTAAAATTAATATCGTGTGATGAGGAGGTATTGTATTATGTTAGAATAATGTTTCTTATAGAATTTTCAGTTTAGACTAATATTTTTTTTAATAATATTTTTAGGTTAGTAAGATTCAAACTACGTTGTTTAAGGGCATAATTGAAAAAATCTTTCCTATCCTTAAGAAAGAAAAAACATACCAACTTCGAAATGGAAAAAAGAAGAGCAATCAACCCCCAATACTCAAATGTGAATGATGAAATTGAACTCACCTTCACAATGAAGACTGAGATAGAGAATATTGAAGACTTCATTCCTAATAATATGTCAGCTTTATGTTATGTGGAATTTTCAAAAATCTCAGACTTCGTACACGAAGGAAAATTGCCATCCTTATTCACGATTATTGTGAATTCTACATTTAAGTTTTAAACTAACTAATTCACTTTTCTCAGACATTGTAGATGCGGTAATTAGTAATTCAAAAATAGTACGTATATCATTCATCGATACACAAAATGTGCAACACACGTGCTTACAACTAGTTTGAGTAAATGATTGGAAGTGAAATTTTACTCTTGTATTTTTTCCGGCCTAATTAAATATTTTTTTCCATTCAAATATGGCCTTTTAAGTCATTTTAGTTTTAAAAAAAAAAAAATTATCCTCCAAAGATTCTATATTATATAAATTCGTAATTTGCGTTGACGGAGAAGAATGTTTTAAATATATTAAGGGTCCGTTTGATTGTAAGAATGGAATTTGAATGGAAAAAAAATGAATTTTAAGGAATTGAATTATCTAAAACTTATTTTATTGGGAATTGTCAAATAAATGTGTTTAATTTGTATAATTTTTCATCTGAAAAATATTAAAATTTTGAATCTTTTGGTATTCATTTGACTTTGTTTTTCATGAAAATTGTCAATTAAATGGATAGATTTTTTTTTACAATTGTGGATAGAATTTGTTTTCATTGTCAAAAAAAATTACAAAAAAAAAAGGTGGAAAATCCATTTTCTCACCAAATTGGTTTTCCACCAATTTAAGGAAAAGAAGATCACGCGGTGGGGGAGGGGGAAAATGAATTTCATGGAAATTTAATGCTATCAAACAAGCAAAAAATTGGAAAACGTTCATCGAAAATCTTCCAGAAAAATGAATTTTATGGAAAATATATATCATCAAACAAGCAAAAGTTGGAAAATGTTCATGAAAAATCTTGCATATCAAACATGGCCCTTGTCCTTTGTCACTCTCAAAATTTGTATGAAAGAAATTATCATTATATATTTTTGGAGTATTCAAAATTATTGGAAACAACTTTCAATTAATTAGTACTTGATAATGGGTTTCATCATGACGTGTTTGTATGTTTTGAAATGA